TTACCAATAGCTTCCTATCAGCATCTCGTCTGGAAGTTATGTATTCTAAAATTAAAGTGAAACTTCTGAAATCAATGGAAGTTTTGTATTTGAAATTATAAATAATAAAGTAATTGACATAATAAGAAGTTCTCTATATAAAACCTGTATAAAACGTTACCGTTTTATCGTACTTGTTATTTTTATGCAGTATCTTCATGCTTGCTTTTAAAAAAGAATATATATTCAAAGTTTGAATAAGAATGGAGCCATTTTCCGTATTTTGGTAGTTTGGAGTAGGAGCGAGTGTGACTGAGCCTTGATAAAAGCTTTATTAATACTCCTTTGTTAGATTTGTTGCCAATTGTTTTCATTTTTCTTTGTTGTTCAGTACGACATATGTTGCATTTTGTTTCATATTTTTTCTGAGTTTATACAAAATTTTGACCAATGCTTTCTGTTAATAAAACACCATTTGTATATGTGCTTAAAATGATAATAATATATTATTAAAATCATGTAGCGATGTATCGTTTCTACTTTGTTATGTTGTTATTCAAGCCCATATCTATACTGATGGTACTGAGGAATCTGAGAATACTGACTTTCACTTACCAGCAAGCTTTCAGATATATACACATGGAACATTTCGGGTAAACTTGACGCACGTTTATAAAACTTGGCTGACATCATCCATTTACATTGGTGCTGAACGCCTAGACCACCGCTAGTTGGAATGGTAGGATTGAGACGCAAGTTAAAATCGCTTTTGCTTTTAATCAGAAGATCCGATGTTTAAATGGACGATCAAGTAATTGTGTTTAGATATATTTCAAGGTGATGAGCCTTTGTTTGATAACAATCTATATGGACCTCATAATTGTGATACTACTCTTTGACTTGAAAGTTTTTAAAGCATTCTGTGGCGTAGCAGATGTCAAGAGGAAGGAAACGGTTCGCTTTGTTCGTAAATGATCTATCGGGTTCAATTTTACTTGTAAGCAGTCCCTACTGTTAAGGAAGAACTAGAGATCAACTATAATGTCAGCTTGTTGACGAAATTGCTTTCCGTATTGTTTCTAAAGATTCCCCGCTCATGTTATACCACCGATTGATGTTGTCATACAAAGAATTATGACACAACACACCATCTCCCGATTATGCTCAGCTGTTGTTTAATGCAAGATTACATGTACCAGTTTATTTGAATTATCTCTAGATTTCACAAGGCCAGACATTTTACAAGCAGTCGATTCTCGTCGTTGTTTATAGAACTAAGATTTAGCAAATGACGTCGATTAATATAAGTTTAAATTGCACACCTAGTAACTGTCGAACTAAACATTGTCCATCATGTAAAAGCTTCGAAAGATTTTCAAGGAATGTCCGAAGACAGACAGACAGACATTCTTTATTTCCTCTAATAAGAGATTACATGGTCTNGTAGGAATGATCGACTCATGGTCCTGACAAAGTGTTGTTATTTTTCAGGTCAATCATAAATCCAATATGGCCGCCACGGCCACCATTTTGAAAACATATTTCAAACTTAAAGTCAAGTTCTGCTAGGCCGATTGAACTGAAACTTTGTAGGAATGATTGACTCATGGTCCTGACAAAGTGTTGTTATTTTTCAGGTCGATCAGAAATCCAATATGGCCACCACAGCTGCCATTTTGGTAAACTATTTCAAACTTAAAGTAAAGATCTACTTGGCCGATTGAACTGAAACTTTGTAGGAATGATCGAATCATGGTCCTGACAAAGTGTTGTTATTTTTCGGGTCAATTAGAAATACAATTTGGCTGCCATTATACTTAACTATTTTTTACTCAAATTGGTACATATTTCAACAACAAAAATAAATACTTTAGGACTCAGGTGACCGTTAAGGCCCATGGGCCTCTTGTTTCATTTTATTAGGAATCCATTTATTTACAAGTATAATACACCCGAGTTCATAAAAGCTAAATGTACAATGTAACCCCTTCCGGAAAGTCGTGAGAGTCGGAAGTATGTAAATATTATGATTTGTAAACAAAACCTATTTGCTTCTAAGAGGAAGATGCCCTTTTTGGGCTCCGCACTGGGTACACTTATCCTACTTTATCCTTATTTAAAACGAGAAGATCAACCTACATGCCACGCTTGTGACACAATTTTTACATAGGAATATGTTTTTGAATAGAATGTTCCGATTTCAAACACATTCGTGATAATTTCTTTCGAGTCCCGGATATGAACAACCTTTTCACTTCCGTGGACTCTTAAGGCATTATTTTTTTGAAGGACAACGGTCTTTTTTATAGACTCTGAAGTCTTCTAACCCACTTTACCCTCTTTGACGTTATTTATATATCGCATATTCCATATAAACTGTTCAGTATCTCATTTATTATTTTTACCCCCTTTTTAAAAATATTCATTTTTATCTGATTTTATTTTCACTACTCACGTTTGTTTAACAAAAAATATATAAATCGCCATGGCCCTAAATGACCACAGTTGTCGATGGGCAGTTAAACACAAACAAACAAACCTATTTACTTCTAAGGTCTAACATTATCTAAACTTATTCAGTTTTATCAACAATGTTGAAAGAATCGATGCTGGCGTAGGGCAGGAAAAACATCTAGATAGATAAAATGCGTTTGTATTTCTTATGTCACTTATAAATTATGGTTCGCGGGTTCGAGGCCTAGCTACGTGGAGCAGTCGCCAGGTACTGGCCGCAGGTACAATCAAGTGGTTTTACTCCGAGTACTCTGGCTTTCCTCCACGAGCACATCCTTTAACTACTATAGCTGTTAATAGGACGTAAACACAAAATAGACCAAATCATGTAGTGCTACTATCTAACTGTATGTTAATTAGAACTTGATCCAGGTAGGTCAGAGGGCAGCGTGTGTTTTTTATGTTTTCATTTTGTACTTTTACAATGTTGCTGTTGTTGCTTACATTTCTTTTTAGTGTTTTTATTTTTTACAATTATTGTTAGTCTTCATGTAACACTCTACACGAATTGTAACCCCTAGCAGCAAAAAGGAAGGAATAAGAACTAAAGAGAAGATGAAAAAGCGAAGATTCTTTTTGAAACATTCGTTCTCTTATTTAATATGAGAGGATTTTTTTAAGAAACAGAACGGCGATATAAAAACATAGTTGGAAACTATTTTGGAGCATATTTTGTGACACTTGTAGGCATTCCTATGAGAACAAATTGTGCCCCACTTCTGACCGATTTGTTTTTGTTTCCATATGATGCTTCATTCATTGATGAGTTATCAGTACTGGCAGTTAAAATCTAGCAAGGTCCTTCAATTTTACTGTGTGATACGAAAGTCGGCGTTTTTTTTATTGTGCTCACTACTTGGATTTGACTAAGATTTACATGGCGAGTGTCGTCGATGAAGCAGAAGACGCTTCCCCTTCCGGAACACCTTGTCTAATTCTACGTGTACTTTTTCAAGGGTCTCCATGTTTATCCTTCATTTACTCACATTTTGTTTTCTATTTTGAGTTCGAATTGTGGTTTTATTGACGTTTCGATATTCACTTGTGCCTCTCTTCTGACATGTAAGGTTTTTGTTTTCATTTTATTCTGAGTCTGGTAGCAAAAATCACAAGTCGATTCCTTTATTTCCACATTCATATATATCGACGGTTTTTAAATAACAAGAAATTGAACGACCTCGTCGTATATAACATCATGAGCTTGAAAACAGGGACACTTCAGACTCTTCTACTTCAGCCCGCTTTCCTCGATAATCACTTACAACATGTTCAACACGAACGGCTTACTACTCATCTGAACAATCAGTAGAACGATTTCGATTTCAATTTTCATCTTTACCTTTCTTGAGAGTAACCTTCCTGGTACGCCATCTTCAGTACGGTGTTGACATGTCGCTATGCAGGAGCATGATAGATATCGACAGCTGACGCACAGCACATGGCTTCCAAAGACGCAGGTTAATAGTGTCATGGGTCACCATCATGGTCCATTGGGGAAGGTGATATTTCTTTGTATGATAGTTTATGACAAAGAAATATTTTGTACGATGTTTATGTTTGTGCTCATAAGTGTGCCTTGTTGGTTGTTTTGTTATCACTAGCCGAGTTCTCGCTATGATACGCGAAGTTACTTGGATTTGACCGGGATTTACATAGCGGGTGTCATCGTTTCCCCTTATCCTTCTATAAGTGTTCCCATGTAAATATTTTCTTTGTCTATATTTTGCCATAGTTTCATCGATTTTGAAATTTTCAAATTATGGTTTTGTTGACGTTTCGGTATTGTCATATTGTTTCCTCGACAGGATGCATTGCGAGGCGGCAAGGGTCAGTTAGCCATCTCGTGTGTCCCCGTTAAAACACTGGAGGAGACTAACAGTTCCTAAATCAAATGTTTAGGAGTTAAGGTAATGTTGTTGGCATTAAAAATGTAATTTAGTTAAAATGATAGTTTTTGCAAAATGCTTAAAATCACTAAAAATCATGACATTTTAAAGACCTGAATTATCTTTTTTATTATCTACAATTATCTTTTTTGTGTGTGTGAAAATATGTTTTACCGTCAAAAATAATATAGCTTTAGTAGAGTAAACTATTTAGAAAACCATAAGATATATCTTATTGACAAATATTATTGCAAAAGGATTTGGAAGAAGTTACAACATTACTAAAGCCATTGTATAAAACAAGTTCAAGGTTAAACATTTGTCAAAAATAAAAGTCATAATAGGAATATAAGTATGGCGACATTGTTTGCGGAAATTGTAAAAAAGGAAACGTCGTATCATCGAACAATTAACTTTTGTCAATAAATTAAAGTCTGTAACTAGATTTTATAATGTTGTGAACATTTCTATATATCATTATGTTCGTGTCTACTAGCATGTTCTCATTACCACTCGTTACAGGGAGTAACTCGGTGTTAATGTGGGCATCAAACGTGTCGATATTAGAGAAAAGGAAACACCTCGACTATAATTTGAACAATCGACAACTCAATCATAACCTAGAGTAGTTTAGGCATTTTAATCTCATATTGTCTTGGATTGTTCTTGAATCGTTGAAGTTTTTTAACAGAGAAGACAGAATTATTTGTGGCAAATTAAATGACATTCAATAAATGCGCAACCTCAGTCGGGATCTCTTTGATTCAGACAAGCAATCAAAGCAAATAGATTCTACTTCATTTTAACAGGAAAACAATTAATGTATAATAATCGCACGTACAGATTTAAACTAAAAGAAATTGTATGATTTAAATCGTATCAACAAAACAGTACTTCATTTTTAAAGGTGGAGCCTTATCATATGCAACTCTGCCGACCAATCACTGCACACGTCGTATCCAACCAATAGCATTCCACATACATTGTCGATTGGATCCTATCGAAATCAGGAGTTGGTTGGCTACAATCCCATATTATCGAGCTCTCGTGACATCTGACAGACAGCACAACATGGACAGAAGGCGAGCGCACAGATATCTTTACAGATACTCCCCTGTAACAGATAGGGGAAAATTGGAAATACATGTCAGTAAATCTCTCGCCTCTGACATTTTTATATGTTGAATAGTTCAAACTGTTAAGGAGATAAGGGAAGTGAATTTGGTCTGGTTATACCCGTACTTACAACAAGCTGACTTGAAATGTAGCTTTCGATTAAAGTAACAGAGGATCAGTTTAACGACTAACTTTATACTTTATATAGCCAATATAATTTCTGTTAGCCGCCAGTTTGTTCCTGAAACCACCCTTGTACCAGAAACATACTCATGATTTAATGTAATAAATTCGTTTTGATTCCAAAATCATCTCGAATAGCAAATTTCTTTAAATGGAACTATAAGTGCTATCGCGCGAGCACGTACCTGTATACCTCCAAGCGTCCTCAATCTCGCTCTCATGGTTATAGAGGATCCGGGGCAGCAGTAGGGCAAACAACAGCACTCTCCCAACCTGGAGGCGGTCCTACACTCCATGCACGGCAGACACAGAAATGTCATCAGACCTGAATCCATTATTGTCCCAAATTAAATATCGTTTAATCAGTTGACTTGCGTATAACGTTTGTTTTTTTGTGTTGTACAATCAAGTGACATATGTAAATAAAGTCCAGAAAACGATATTTTCACTCATTATTAATGTTCACATTGCATAGACAATAGATAAACTTACGGCCAAAAACGTTGTCACGAACCATTATTACTATTACACATGCACACATCTGTACGTTAACTGTTCGGGACTTTCCGTCAAACTAGAATAGTAATCTGTCACCATACAAAGCGTGATGTAAAATTCAAGTTCTGTCCGATTGGCAACCAAAGAAAACACAAACCTGTTCTCGCAAAATTGCTGTTCACATCTGGTAAGCACTGTGTTTAAAATATATCATAAGTTAAAAGAAACTCCGCAGAAAGACCAAATACAATTATCGTTGCTGTTTTGCAAGTAAACACTAGGGTTTAATTATTGTTTTTTGCCATTTATTATGGTATGCTAAGTAGTTCCGTCCAAATAGTGCTAAAGGTTCGCTACCGCGCTTTATGGAATATGATTGAACGGTGCTGTATTTCATGGATTATAAATGTTAACAAAAGATGGGATTCAATCCTTATTAATGATTGAAAACAACAGGTATCAACAGCATATCACTTTTTACTGAATTAAACTGCTACTACTGACGACTGAAAACAATAGTTGCTGACCGAAATAGCAGCAAGCACTTTTATTTATCAAGAACCCCAATCCTAGCAGCCTATCGAAATTGAAGATGGAATATATATTTTACTGGATACACATACTATTTACATAAAACAACGATAAGTGTTGACGGAGAACGGTCGTTGTTATTTGAGTTGTTCGACAAAAAGCAATATTTATTGTTTACTGAAAACAATATTTGTTCTAGAATGAAAACAAAAAGCAAATGTTACAGACTCTCCTGTTAAAAAGTTTATAAATGTCATACGGACACCACTCTATGAATAAGATATACCTGTTGTAAATTGACAACTCTGATTGGAGGAGGAACGTTACGTGACATTCCTGTAAATCCCTTACACACTCAATACTTACAAAAGGAAAAAATATACAGACTATGATGGTTAATGTCATCCTATGTTAAAGAGTGGTAGTGATTATAATTTGACAAGTGCAGAGAATTGCATAGAATGACATGTAATGAAACATTTCAGGACTTCAGTTTCGGTCTATTCATTATTTACGGAATGGTGTGTGACCAATATTCATCGATACCGAAGGCCGAGGTGAATATGTCTGTAAATGTATTTTCTTCATAAATACAATACTTAGTGTTGAATGAAAACAGGTGTTTATACCGTGATACCATTGGATACTATAAATGCTGTACATGTTGGTTCGGTGACGCGGTGGATAGCGCACTTGCCTTTCACCAAGGTGGCCAGGGTTCGATTCCCCGAACGGATGTGAAAAGGTATGGGATCACCTGCTCGATCACGTAGGTTTTCTCCCGGTACTCCGGTTTCCTCCCATATTAAGACCCCCCGCAGGCAAACATCCGGGCCAACAAGAGTTATTAATATAAGTTGTAAAACATGTTTCATAATTGTTGTAAAATAAAAAAAAAGTTTATATTTAGATACTATAGAGTACTCTTACATGATCCACAATCGTTGAAGCAGCCACACAGGCCCGAGGACCAGTCGCGGTGACCGTGGATGTTGCCAATCAGTTTGGTTGTGGGCTGTGCCGTGATCACCTGCTGAACCGCCATCCTTAGTCTGGAAACAATTATAGCAATTTGTGTTTAATGCATATAAGGTGAGAACTTGGAAGGTTTCCGCTAGATATGAATGTCAAAGTAAGAATGGTCTTATTTTTGGCTCAATTGACAAAAAACAACCAGAATAAATTAAGTAATAAACTGTTAGTAAGTTTATCAAATTATGAATCGTCATGGATAAAATATGTGAACGTATTTTTGAATAATGCAGTCTGATACATATATACATTGGCTAAAGAGTACCGCATTTTATTAACTATAAGGAAATTTAATGTCAAACTGGAGAAATGAAATTTATACATCTCCGAAAGGAATCAATTAGAAAAGTACTTACTAGAACACCCTCCGTAACTAACCAAAGCGTATTGTAAGTTTAGAACATGTAATACTAAGTTACCATTGAAAGTGGTAGGTGGTTCAATATACTTCTTGAACATAGATTATGTAGTTGATGTTATTTAAGAGAAATTGGCGACGAATTTCATTATCTGTTTACATGTATACATCAACCAATACTCAATAGTAGGCGAAAACATATGTCCAGATATTATTATGAAAGACCAAACGCATTTAAATATCATACATTATTCAATTATGTAATACAACATGAATTGACATCATTGTCTAAATTTATTACCGATATCAATGACATCATTAATTTACAATACTAACGTCCGTCCTGTTCCACCATATATTATCGTCACGCATTTGTATATATGTATTCTCTACACTGTATTGTTTATGAGAATAAAACAACTGTCGTTGTCTCTGGTGTCTAGCTGGGCACCTCATGTTAGCCTGTTATCAGAACAATGGTACCGGGTGCAGTGTATAATGCTTTGTCTCTAGACTAGGGCAGTAAAATCAGAAGACACTTATAAGTGACCCTTGAGAGAAGCTTTATCAGCTAGTGCATTTCAGACGGAACAGTAAGACATTGCGATGTCTACATGCTTAAACAATCAAGGAAACGGAGGAATTCATCGTCCCATCACAATCAATCAACGCTTCAACATCAAAATAAGTACAGCAATGTTTTCTACTACAATGATATTTATCTGTATTGCGATAGAACAACGGTATACCTATTTGACCGATTTTGAAGTGTAATATCTACTGCTTTTGTGACATTGCAAATGGAAAATGATGAGTAAAGCAAGACTTACTTAAATACACTACAGTTTTATAAAAAAAAAATGCATCGAAATCACTGCGTTGAAAATATTAAACTCAACATAGCTAGATGTCTAAAGTGCGTGACATTGGCTTTGCTGCTTTTTTTAAGACAGAAAATCAATTTATAAAGACATCATCATCCCTTTCTCTCTCTACCAATAGTCCAGAGTGGTTGACTATGGAACTTTCAATATCTTTGAAAAGTGGTACGATATGGTTAAACTTCTAATTTATTGTATCAATACAACCATTAAATGACGGCTTTTCGGGCAAAATCATTTAGTACTCGGACAAAACCCATACATGAATCAATCATTTTGTTGAAAGAAACGTGGGCTCATTTTTACTATGCGGTAAACACTCCATCAGATGGGGATTTTACCATCAGAACTAGGTCTCGTTTGTTCGTTTACCTTACCAAACATGTCAATTCAAGTTCCCAGGTGCTTGTACACTGTTTTCCTTTGCCTGTGTTATTACAAATGTAGTTTTCAGAAATACGTGTATCGTTTAATGTGGTCTGTAGAATAGCTCCGAATATTTCTACGTCCATTCGGCGAGCTAGCGGCAAAAAAGTACATTTGCGTTGGTGTGAATTTGTTAAGTAGCCGAGTGGAGTGAGACATACGTGTATCGTTTAATATGGGTTGTAGAATAGCTCAAATAGTACATTTGTGTTGGTGTGAATTTGTTAAGTAGCCGAGTGGAGTGAGACATACTTGTATCGTTTAATGTAGGCTGTAGAATAGCTCCGAATCAGCCTTGATGGAAAAGCAAAGTATCATGTATAAAATCCAATAAATATACCGTATATTAATCAAATTGTCTTAAACTAACATTGATGTAGGTATTATCTAACACGAATTTCTATAAAAAGTAAACACTAACCAATACATTCAACTTTAGAATGTTAAGCCGTATTAATTGTTCAGTATTTTCTCGATTTTCAGCGATGATTCCAACACAACTGTTCAGCAATCTACATTTGAGTAGGGCTTACTTTGCATGGAATTGATTATACTCAATGTCATACAAAGGGTAGATATTAAAGTTTAAATCTAAGCGATTTTCAATATTTCTTCATCCCAAAGAGGGAGTAAAAGGCTTTTCCCTGATACTTACTTTGGCAGAGTTTTTGCCTGATATAGTATACATGTCCACCAACGTATAAATATAGATATTGTTTTTTTGGAGGGGGGAGGGCGAGTAATTTACTTTTTCGGAGTAAAGATAACATGTTTAAAGTGTGACCACTTTTAAAATTAGTGAGTATTAACAAAAAGTGGTGGAAATGAAAATCTTAGGACCAGTTCTTAGTTTTTGGGCTCATTTGAAATTCAATATTTCCATCTAGGACTGGTTGAGACATTTCCTTCAACGAGTTTCTTGTATATTTAACAAAACTATCTTTCTCTTATGATCCAGATCACCTTTTTAACTAATTTAAAGTCAAATATGGTCACCTGTTATGTAATTGGCTGAGACATTTTCAACTTCTATACAACTTCCGTCAGTAAGTAAGATTTCCTCACCTCCCCACAAACATACATGTACAGTTTACCTGTCACTGTCAACTGGCATATCTGTCAAAATGTATGACAGGATGAAAAATTGTTTTTGTAGTTAACAAATTGCAGCCGATGTTTAAACATTTCTAAATGTTTCTGGTATTTACTGTCAAATACATGTACCTAACGTTTAAAAGCAAAGCCAGTCCTAATTTTAATAAAGTAATATCGAAATTATTCAAACTTAAAATATGTTTGTAGTATTTTTTATCACTTTATCGGTTATACAGGGTGAATGTTCATTGTTATAATGTGACATTTAACAAAGATGACTAAATCTATATCTAAACTCACAATATGCTAGTGCAAAGACTTATGCTTATCATGGGTAGGTCAGAAAACGCACTGCTCCCCAGGTATGGTATTGTATATAGCAACGTATGTAAATATTGATATTGATAATATAATAGTATTACCATCCTTATCGCCAGAAGACCTTATATGTATTTACAATATAGAAATACCAATGTTGGCCAATTTGTAAAGTGCAGGCATTCACTTAAATCATTTAAACTATTTCATAAAGCTTCATAAAATTATAAAACATTCTGGTGAATAAACTATCATATTGGTTTCACGAGGTCAAACAGTGATTTTACCAACGGAAACAGGTTGATTTTGTTGTGGACACGTGTCCGTACCTACGTGGATGTAACGGAAGGGGAATTAAGACACCGAAAACTAAACGCTAATTATCGCCCCAATGTAAAGATATCTTTAATGGTAATTATAATCGCTAACATCAGAACATGTAGCAAAGACAATGGAATATATCCTTACATTTGATACGTGTTCAATGAAGACCTAACGCAACCTGGTAATATTAGTTATCTTTCTTTTTCTTTTGCATACCTGACGGACAATATATAGGATATTCACTCGTGATAATTGATTGATGAATATCCATTCTCTTGAGACATTTCTCAAGTATAACCTAAGAGTATCAGCGAGTTTCTTGTATATTTAACAAAACTATCTTTCTCTTATGGTCCAAATCACCTTTTTAACTAATTTACAGTCAAATATGGTCACCTGTTATGTGATTGGCTGAGACATTTTCAACTTCTTTACAACTTCCGTCAGTAAGTAAGATTTCCTCACCTCCCCACAAACATACACGTACAGTTTACCTGTCACTGTCAACTGGCATATCTGTCAAAATGTATGTCAAGATGAAAAATTGTTTTTGTAGTTAACAAATTGCAGCCGATGTTTAAACATTTCTAAATGTTTCTGGTATTTACTGTCAAATACAGGTACCTAACGTTTAAAAGCAAAGCCAGTCCTAATTTTAAGAGAGTAATATCGAAATTGTTCAAACTTAAAACATGTTGTAGTATTTTTTATCACTTTATCGGAGATATCAGTGTGAATGTTCATTGCTATAGTGCGACATTTAACAAAGATGACTAAATCTATATTTAAACTCACAATATGCTAGTGCAAAGACTATTTTCGTTTTACCCATGACATTGTTACTTTTACACAATTAAAAAGCAAAACGATTTTACAAAAAAAATGAAATTAGCTATAGAAGGTTGCTTACCTGTAGGTTAGGGCCTTCTTGTCACCTGTGGTACAGAGCTGACATATGAACTTATCAAGGTACCCCACTACATATGCTTATCATGGGTAGGTCAGAACACGCACTGCTCCACAGGTATGGTATTGTATACAGCAACGTATGTAAATATTGATATTGATGATATCATAGTGTTACCATCATTATCGTCAGAAGACCTTATATGTATTTATTTACAATATAGAAATACCAATGTTGGCCAATTTGTGAAGTGCAGGCATTCACTTAAATCATTTAAACTATTTCATAAAGCTGGTGAATAAACTATCATATTGGTTTCACGAGGTCAAACAGTGATTTTACCACCGGAAACAGGTTGATTTTGTTGTGGACACGTTTCCGTACCTACGTGGATGTAACAGAAGGGGAATTAAGACACCGAAAACTAAACGTTAATTATCGCCCCAATGTAAAGATATCTTTAATGGTAATTATAATCGCTAACAACAGAACATGTAGAAAAGTCCATGGAATATATCCTAACATTTGATAGGTGTTCAATGAAGACCTTACGCAACCTGGTAATATTAGTTTCTTTCTTTTTCTTTTGCATACCTGACGGGCAATATATAGGATATCCACTCGTGATAATTGATTGATGAATATCCATTCTCTCGAGAAATTTCTCAAATATAACCCACGAGTATCAGCGAACACGAAACGCAAATATAGACATAGTGACGTCATGTCGGGTGCTGTTATTCAACAATGTGAAATTGTCGGAGTACGGATTAATTTACTTCTGCTGTGATTAAGATGGCGTAGAACAAAGGTTGGTGTTTTATCACAGTGAAATCTCGGAGCGGCATTAACAACAACAAACTTTTTTTCGGAACAAAGTGGACACGGAGATTTAGTTATGAAATTGGGTTTGAAACAAAAACAAAATTATAAATCTGAGGCTTTCTTAGATAATAAAACATCCGACCCTCTAACAAAGAGTTGGCAATGCCTTGATTGAGTGCTCCTTCTGAGTCTATCTGGTGGGGGTAGTCTTTACCGATACTTCATTTCATATGTCTGTCTTGTAGAGCAGATACTCACAAATCTATAATATGTTCTCCTGTTTGCGGCTTTCCACCTAAGAGCGACATATCCGATACCAACAACGTACGTATTCAGATTTTGTGTCATGGCATATCTCGCAGCTCCCCGTTGATTTACTCGATACAGAAGATATTACCCTAGTAGCGTATCGTGATCGGGGTAGATGTCGTCCTCATAGGACAATCAGGGTTCTGTTGGCCTATCTGTTATAATCTCATCTTCACGGTTGCCGGTGTCTCATGACAGATGACCTCTAGGTATGGTGCCCTATGGACCTCCTGCAGAAGATGGGAGTGTAACCTCGTTTTAATTACTCATTACCACACTTTCGAGAATAAACCATAACTATCGCGACAGCCTTTCGAAGTTATGTAAAACCTTATAGCTGTCTTCTAGTGTGACATGGATTATGGAGAGATTGGGAGATTCCCTTTACATGTTGAAGTTAAAACCAGAGTAATTATGTTTTGGTATAAATTGATAACTAGCAATAGGTTGTCAAGTACTATGTATAACTTAATGTTTAACTTACAAACAAATGGAATCATGGAGTTCAAATAGTTAAAGAATATTCAAGATATATATGTATGGAAACAGGTGTAAATTGTATCAGGGCATATAAGAAAACATGTACGTTTAAAAGTGACTATTTGAAAGTTGTTGTAAAACAAAGATTACAAGACCAGATTATCCAAAAATGGTTTAACGATATCGAGAGCTCTTCAAGAGGATCTACCTATTCAAATTTCAAAACAAATTTTGAACTTGAAAATTACTTGTGAAATTAAAGCCAAAAGAAAGACATATTATTGTTAGGTTCGGAACTTCAAATATGCACTTACCCATAGAAACTGGAAGATGGATTGGAATACCCAAAGTAAACAGAACTTGTAGTCTATGATTTAATGAAATTGGTGATGAATATCATTATCTAACACGTATCTGTTCAACAAATAAGACAATTATGTATTCCAAATTACAACTATACTAACCCTTGCCTTATTACTACTATACTTACCCTAGCCTTATTACTACTATACTTACCCTAGCCTTATTACTACTATACTAACCCTAGCCGTATTACTACTATACTTACCCTAGCCTTATTACTACTATACTTACCCTAGCCTTACTACTACTATCCTTACCCTAGCCCTATTACTACTATACTTACCCTTGCCTTATTACTACTATACTTACCCTATCCTTATTACTACTATACTTACCCTAGCCTAATTACTACTATACTTACCCTAGCCTTATTACTACTATACTTACCCTAGCCTTATTACTACTATACTTACCCTATCCTTATTACTACTATACTTACCCTAGCCTTATAACTACTATATTTACCCTAGCCTTATTACTGCTATACTTACCCTAGCCTTATTACTACTAAACTTACCCTAGCCTTACTACTACTATACTTACCCTAGCCAAATTACTACTATACTTATTCTAACCTAATTACTACTATACTTACCCTAGCCTTATTACTACTATACTTCCTCTAGCCGTATTACTACTATACTTACCCTAGCCTTTTTACTACTATACTTACCCAAGCCTTATTACTACTATACTCAACCTAGCCTTATTACTACTATACTGACCCTAGCCTTATAACTACTATATTTACCCTAGCCTTATTACTACTATACTTACCCCAGCCTTATTACTTCTATACTTACCCTAGCCTTATTACTACTATACTTATCCTAGCCTTATAACTACTATACTTACCCTAGCCTTATTACTACTATTCTTACCCTAGCCTTATTACTACTATACTTACTCTAGCCGTATTACTACTATACTTACCCTAGCCTTATTACTACTCTACTTACCCTATCCTTATTACTACTTTACTTACCCTAGCCTTATTACTACTCTACTTACCCTAGCCGTATTACTACTATACTTACCCTAGCCTTATAACCACTATATTTACCCTAGCCTTATTACTACTATACTAACCCTAGCCGTATTACTACTATACTTACCATAGCCTTATTACTACTATACTTACCCCAGCCTTATTACTACTATACTTACCCTAGCCTTATTTCTACTTTACTTACCCTAGCCTTATTACTACTATACTTACCCCAGCCTTACTACTACTATACTTACCCTAGCCTTATTACTACTCTACTTACCCTATCCTTATTACTACTTTACTTACCCTAGCCTTATAACTACTATATTTCCCCTAGCCTTATTACTACTATACTTCCCCTAGCCTTATAACTACTATATTTCCCCTAGCCTTATTACTACTATACTTCCCCTAGCCTTATTACTACTTTACTTACCCTAGCCTTACTTATTACTACTATACTTACCCTAGCCTTATTACTACTCTACTTACCCTATCCTTATTACTACTTTACTTACCCTAGCCTTATAACTACTATATTTACCCTAGCCTTATTACTGCTATACTTACCCTAGCCGTATTACTACTCTACTTACCCTAGCCTTATTACTACTATACTTCCTCTAGCCGTATTACTACTATACTTACCCTAGCCTAATTACTACTATACTCAACCTAGCCTTATTACTACTATATTTACCCTAGCCTTATTACTACTATACTTCCCCTAGCCTTATTACTACTTTACTTACCCTAGCCTTATTACTACTCTACTTACCCTATCCTTATTACTACTTTACTTACCCTAGCCTTATTACTACTATACTTACCCTAGCCTTATTACTACTATATTTACCCTAGCCGTATTACTACTATACTTACCCTAGCCTAATTACTAATATATTTACCCTAGTCTTATTACTACTATACTTACCCTAGCCGTATTACTACTTTATTTACCCTAGCCTTATTCAAATGCATGAACTATTTACTATATGCAATGTAAAAGTTTTATTAAATGTTAGCAAATTTCTAGAAAAACTTGAAAAGCTATTGTATGTACGTAATTAGTTTGTAGCCTTTATACCTTTGTTACCCGCCATGTAGATATGAACATGATACATATTGACCCTTTTGTTACAGACTTTGTACGTCTGAGAGAAATAAAAATCTGACATCTAAGATTATTCTAACTGCACGTTTTTGAAGTTTTACTAAACAGTTGATATTTTTCTGTGTAGTTGATCCCCATACAATAGAACAATAATCAATAACTGGCATAACATGTGAGTTAGTATAGGTAGGATTGTTTTAGCGTCTGCAAGAGGGATAGTTTTGATACTAGAGATTTACAGGTAAAGCTGTTATATACATATATATCCCCATCTGGAAGTGTTTGTTGTAGGAGCCGCGGTAGTCACGTGGTCAAGTGGTTAAGGCTGTCTGACATTCTGCTACTACTAGCCCTCCACCACTGTGTCGCGGGTTCGAGACCTACTTTGGGCAGTCGCCAGGTACTGGCCGTAGGTCAGTTTTTCTCCGGGAACTCCGGCTTTCCTACAAAACCTGCTACGTCCTTAAATGACCATAGCTGTCAACAGGACGTGAAACACAAACAAACCAAACTGCTGTATTACACTGTTAACGGTATTTATTTACACATACTGCTATGCCATTTTGATTAAACCCGTTTAACATGTAGTTATTGTCTTATCTGCATGCATATATATTCCATTAATATGACGCCCTATTTACCGTGTTCCATACCACTTTGTAAAATGTCATTGATAAAGGAACCCTTTCGACTTGAAGCATGAAATATTGCATCATCTTCCTACCTGTCAACTGTGAACTTATATAATACGGGAATAGAATAGGACCCAGTATTGACTCTTTGGGGGTCACCAAATTAAATTAATTTAGGTTCTGATATATTGTCTTTAATATGATCCTGCTGGGTTATATCAGATAGATAAGAAGTTATCCATTGTAATGAACATGTGTTAAAATCATACAAATGTAGTTTTTCTAATAGAATTGTGTGGTCCTCAAGATCAACAGCCTTCCTCATATCCATGAATATTGAACCTACCTTATTTCCTTTATCAAGTTCACTAAGCCAGCTCTCAGTTATATTGTCAAAGCTGTGTGACATGAGTGACATTCTCTTAATCCAGATTGAGTTTGATGCAATAGATCATGATGTTTGAAATAATAATTTATCTGTTTTGAAACCTCTTTTTTATAATTTTTCATCAATTGTTTTAAGCGGTATATATTCATAATGCAGATCCGTTTTTTTATTTAAACAAATAGGTAAATGATATTATTGAAATCATCTAGGATAGTATATACCAGATTTTTTTTAATTTCGTCCTTATGTCGAATGATGATGATGATGATGATGATGATGGTGTATTGAGTGTGAGCCATCAAGAGCACTAAAGTTCTTACATATGATATACGATTTCATTCGAGCTGGATGTTTTATTTTGGCATTTTTACTTGATTTGATGCTGTTGAGGGTTGTCATGTTAATTAATTGATGATTGAGCTAGTTGAGTCTGGGGAATTTAAGTAATATTTTTGGCTACGCCTTCTTTGTTTAGTTCCTACAAAGGTTTCGAACCACACACTTTGTGTCCATACTTTTTACGGGAGTAGCACCGTATACCATTGCCGTGCCTGCGTACGTCAGGGATATGGCCGTTCTCTCCACACATGAGATACATAATGAGGTACTGTCTAACTGGCAGTAAAATGGATGGAGATGTGATGTGGCCTGAGGGTACGTCCTGTTTCTGTACAAGTGTTTCCTTTGTATTTACTTTGGATCTAGCTGTGGTCTAAATTTGGACACATGTGTAGTTAGTCTCCATAGGTCCACTCTATATGGCCTTTGCCTTGCACTTGGGTGGTGATTGTTGTTGGAAAAAGAACAAGTTACCAGGCATCCACTGGACTTCTCCTTAGTACAGAATGTGTAAGTCATAGCCTTTGTTTGGAATGCCCGCTATCAGAGACGTATGTATGCCCTCGGATGTTTTCATAGATTTTTGACTAATAAAAGGAAATATCTACACAAATGGTGATACTTACAGGGGTTTCCTTGATGTTTAAGTAGTATGGAATAGCTTGGTGTGTGTCATCCTGTTAGGAAAATCCAGAGAAATCCATAACGTTTGAGGCATTACGAATTTGATACAGCATTCTGGTAAGTTTTTCGGCCATTTTTTAGTTTTGTTTTATCAAGTTGATGCAGATTTCTATCATTGAACCTCTTAAATATAGCTTATTGATGTACTTAACTTTCCACAAATATTCATTAACAACCAATCGCCAAAAGTGCTGTCCTCTCGGCGGCCATCTTTTTGTGTTGTCTTATGTCTGTCGATGGTTAATTACTTCTCATTTGAAATTTCAAGAAGAAGAAAATGAAGATGTTGTCAGAGGAAGGATTTAAACAAGAAAAGACAAAATCGAATCAAACAAGGAAAGACAATAACGAATTAAGCAAGGAAAGACAAGAGCGAATTAAGCAAGGAAAGACAATAACGAATTAAGCAAGGAAAGACAATAGCGAATTCCTATAGACACTACCGGTTATTTTTAACTCGCATAATTAATATTCTGGGGATCTGTAATGACTCTTAACCTTCGAGACATACAGACAGACGGACAGACGGCTCTGGACGCAAAGACACGGGAACGGATGGACTTCAAGACGAATACACTTTGTGTCAACTTCTCTGTTAGTTTTACGAGGGATTTTCTAACATTTACTATAAACAAGGCAAGAAAATACCCCAGAACTATATGAGGATATCATATGTTTGGACAGAGCCAGACTAACCCTACCAAGTGACTGTCACGTTATTGTGGTTAGCAGATGTCGAGAATTGTGGCATACAAAAAAATACATTTCATCCTATTCTTTTTCGGGTGATTTACTTTGTTATTCCAATCTAATGAAAAGGTAATAGTGAAATGTGTTTTGAATTTTGACTGATTTTGTCCGATTATTGAATGATTTGCCTGAAAAGCTGTTATATAAAATTCGTCCTGAGCATCAATTAGCGAGTTTACTCAAATTTTGGTATTTGTTGCAATACCTTTTATTTCCCATCCACAAGTGTTAGCTTTTATTATGTACATGTGATATGACGTGTCGGTTTCATTGTGGAAAAGTGTACGGCTATATTAAACGTTTTAATTGGCTCCTGTCAGCCATCGTATACACTCCACACGTGGACTATAACACGTACATGGAGTATAGAGTCTGCGCGGTCATAGCTGCGTATCAGCAAATCCAGAGCCGCCAGTTAGAGTACAACAGCGGGATATAGTGGGATTGCACTACTCTACTGAAGTTAGATAGGACTGACAGTAAGTGATATTTACAATAATATTCTAATTAACATGTTTACTACTCCAGCATATAAACTGAGCGCCTGGCCAATGTTAGACTAACAGATTCCGTTATGTTATTCCTCACTTTACTAACATTTAAACATTTTCTTAGATACAATTTTTTTAAAACAAAGATTATTTTCCCATTTATCTATTGCCGTGTGCACAAAAATAACGAATGTATGACATAATCACCGGTATCTATATATGTCGAGGAGCCGAGTGTAAATGTTCGTGGAATTTTCTACTTCCTCTTGAAAAACCATGCATGTTTGCCCGACAACTTTCGCCTTTATACAAAAGACTTCATCTCAAAGGGTTTTGGAAAGTATATGGAAGATGTTTGCATTTTTAACGGCCAATCTGCAATTTTAAGCCATATAAGTATTGAAGGCAATAGGGGTGTTTAGACCTACTGGGGTAAGCATCGCGTAAACAGTAGGCCCTATTGCGCTTTTCATCAGTCTACATTTATTGTGCATGGCCCATTTTTACTTTAAAGCAAGCAGTTTTATAAGAGTTGCATATGCTGCTATGCTAGTCTGCTCAACACTATTTAGTCATTTTGTCAGCAAATGTCATATTCTAAAAAAAAAAATCAATATTTGTTACGGGTGATTTTTCGTTTACTCACTATTTAGTGAAGTTTCACAAAGCAACACTAGAGTGTTATAAATGTATAAATACATGCAGTATATAAATGTACATTGTAAAGAAAATTAGAATTAAAAAACATATTCCAAACCTTAAAGAAACCTCTAAATTTATGATCCAAATTGAAGCAAACATGTGAGATTTTCTGAGGAAAATGTACCATCGCGCTGTTAACAGGATGGTCAAGATGAACCATACAGAGTTGTCGTACCTTATTAAGGCTATTGGGTAGACAATCTCTCTCGGAACACTTAGTGGTACCCTCAATGCCAATCTGTAAATGCCATGCCATTACATTACGTAATGTAATTAAAATATAAACTTATCGTCTTACATCGAACACAGTCATGTCTTCCATCGGTTAAATGGACTATAATGGTAAATGTCACTGTTAAAAATATCATTAAAAGTGCCATTTTTAGAAAATATGCCACAAAACTTGCACTTTCTCTAATAATATAGATATTGATTACTTTCATCAAATCTTAACGTGGGATTTTTTTTTGCATTTTTTTTAACCTTAACGTTAAGCGGCGCATGGTTTGGTCAGTAAACACTTTGTCCACTTCCGGTGCTTCCCCGTGTCTGAAAGCTTTCTTGGAAATTGAGGCCACATACGATCTACAAAAACTAATGACGTATTTACAACACTTCATCAGTCTGCTTTGTTGTAAAGCGTCATTATAATCTGGCGTCAAATATAACGCTACAAATACTTGCACTTTTTTGATGAAGCAATATATGCTTCAAGTTACTTTTTTTTAAATGTAATAAGTTGAAAATGTAATGGTTTTCCCGTTGAAATAACATATATATCACTCGTATGGATATACATTGCAGTATTCCCCTTTAGATCTACAAAATAAGTCTAATACAAGTGAATAGTCTAACAGGAAAAATTAACAAATGTGTATCAATATACAAGACTACAAAAATGAAATGGCGTTGACATTTAAACGTACAGTTAAAAATGTACATGTCCGTGCTTTGGATAATTATTGAGTGGCAATAGTGCAACAAGTGAGGTTATTATATGACTGGTGCTAATCCCCAGCCCTGATTGGAGGAGCGACGTCACGTGACGAGTCTATAAATATGTTACAGACCTCGTTCTATAAATAGAAAAGTGTTACAGACCTCGACCTATATATAGAAACGTGTTACAGACCGCTACTAAAAACAGTCCGTGGTAATTTCCCAGATAGTCTTTAAATCTGTTACCATTCACACTACTGAATTCAACTACAGTTCAAATTATTGTTCAAATAATATTTACTTGAAATTAAATATCACATGAATTGAATCTGAAATTCATTTTTTGTGTATGTTATTTTGTATTTGAAGTCCTTCACTCTGTGATTCCAAAATGGTCCATGCCATCCATGTGTTTATGACATGAAAAAGTATTAATCTTATTGTAAAATGTTATATAATAGTATACAATTATGGACTTCAGTTTCGGTCTATCCCTGATTTACGAACCTGGTCTGAACAATATTCACCTCGGCCTTCGGCCTCTGTGAATATTGTTCAGACCAGGTCCGTAAATCAGGGATAGACCTCACCTGAAGACCATAATTGTATAATATTAAGCGTGAACAAAATATTCTGACTGATAAAGTTAATGTCATTAACGAAAATAATCCAAGAATAAATTTAAGTATGCAGGATCCATTCCCTCAGTTGGCATCTGGCAGGTAGTGACTTTGATACTGTCCAGCAACTTTTGCTGCATTTTCTTGTTGAGATATAGTTTTTGTAAGCATCCCACGGGCTATATCGTCTGACTTCAACAATTCTTCTTTATGTAAAACTTGACAATAGTATGACGTCGAGGTCATAATTCTTCTTTATTTTATGACTGGTGCTATTACCCAGCCCTTACCATGTGACGAGTCTGTAAATTTGTAACAGACTTCGTTCTATGATTAGAAAAGTGTTACAGACCTCGACCTATAAATAGAAAAGTGTTACAGACCTCGACCTATAAATAGAAAAGTGTTACAGACCTCGACCTATAAATAGAAAAGTGTTACAAACCTCGACCTATAAATAGAAAAGTGTTACAGACCTCGACCTATAAATAGAAAAGTGTTACAGACCTCGACCTATAAATAGAAAAGTGTTACAAACCTCGACCTATAAATAGAAAAGTGTTACAGACCTCGACCTATAAATAGAAAAGTGTTACAGACCTCGACCTATAAATAGAAAAGTGTTACAAACCTCGACCTATAAATAGAAAAGTGTAACAGACCTCGACCTATAAATAGAAAAGTGTTACAAACCTCGACCTATAAATAGAAAAGTGTTACAAACCTCGACCTATAAATAGAAAAGTGTAACAGACCTCGACCTATAAATAGTAAAGTGTTACGGACCGCTACTATAAAGTAATTTCCCAGCCAATTTGCAAATCTGTTAAAAAATCACACTACTGAATTCGACTATAAATTATGACCTATGTGATGCAATTGACGAATTGAATCTGAATTGTGTATGTTATTTTGTATTTGAAGCCCTTCGCTCTGTGATTTAATGGTCCATGCCATTCATGTGTTTATAACATGAAAACGATCAATCTCATTGTAAAATGTCATATAATAAAACAGTTGTGGACTTAAGTTTCGGTCTCCTGATGTATGGTCCTGGTCTGAACAATATTCACTGAGACCAATGTGAATATTGTTCAGACCAGATTCATAAATCAGGGATAGACCTCACCTGAAGTTCATAATTGTATGATGTAACAAGGATTATTTTTGGCATACTCTCCAAAACGTGTTTTTTTTTGTGTCAAAATGAAAATATATGATAGTATGATACCTTCACTGATTTGATTTTATATACACACTTTTACATTGTGCAGGTTTTAACGTCACGCTTTTAGAATGATGAAGTCAACGTCGCTGTATGATAATAGGTCACTCAACGTCCAAACTCTTTCGGGTCTAGCCCTTCATCAGGGATTCAAAGGTCCTCACCCTTCTGTCACACCCAGATTCGAACATGAAAGGGCACACACAAACACACGGAAGGGCACACACAACAGGAAGTTTTCTCCATTGTTTTCGTAACGACGTTCATTAAAACAATGAAGAAAGCTTCCTGTTTGTGTGTTCACTGTTATCGTGGAAACAATGAAGAACATTTCCTGTTTGTGTTAGCACTGCCATCATGGAGACAATGAAACACCCTTCCTGTTTAAGGGTGCGCTGTCATCATGGAAACAATGTAGAATACTCCCTGTTTGAGTGTTCACTTCCGGTATTCAAATATGGTTGTGACATAAGGGTGTTGTGTACCATTCAAGCACGAATGGCTAAGCACGAAAGCTTGAACAAAGAGTGACTGATGATATTTAGGAACTTTAGTTGTGATAAACATTTACGTCACACAACTTTACTTACAAGTGTGTTAAAATTAAATTGCAAGAGTGAATAGCAGGATATTTGATATAGAAGCAAGACGAAACACTCATTTCAACAATTTAATAAACAAAAAATGAAAAGTATTGCCCCTACAAGCCACTTTTGATAGTGTAATGGTAGACTAGAGTCTACTTTTATATCAGGGCTGCCGATCGACCCTTGACATGTATTAAAAAATTTATATTTGCCACTTTTTCGATGCAGAAATAGGCTCATACAACCCCTTCTCTTTGATCAGGTATGTTATTTAGTTGAGGTGAATATTTGGTTTTATTATATGCATGAAAAATTCTCGCAATCACATTGGTCGGATCAGATACACGTGACCAGTCCTCAAAAACTCATGTAGACTGGTTATCCGGTGAATATCGATTTCTAAATATAACCTATATGGAAATTCCCCGGAACCTGTCGTAGCGCATGCGCAGTAAGACCGGAACGCGATCTGTCAGACGACAATTGAAGATGGCTGCTGGCGAACGTTTCTCCTCCGTTAGGAAAATTACCAAAACTATTCCTAGGATAAAGATGCTGTTAACGTAAAAAAAAAGGCTATTGAACACGCAGTGCATGTCCTCCATGCTTATCTTAAGAAAAATAATCTAGACGATGCCTTCGAAAGCTACAATGATGTACTGTTGTATTCAAACCTGGCTAAATTTTACACGGTGGCTCGAGTACAAAAATCAAAACCTTTAGTTTAGTTTAGTTTATTTTATTGTTGAAGCATATAATAAAACAGTTATAGGCTTTTGTGCTGGTAAATATGATGTGATATGAACCTGAAAGAGTGATATTGACCTCGGCTTCGCCTCAGTTAATATCACTCTTTCAGGCTCATATCACATCATATTCACCAGCACAAAAGTCCATAATTGTATAATATAAACCTTGTTAAAAGGGTATTAACAGAGATGAAGTTGTATAGGCAAACAAGAAATAATGCTGCTTTTATCATGTATGAATATGCAACGCGTAAAAAAATGTGAGAAAAATGCTGCATCTGGCAGAGAGCAATGGGACGAAGCGTAATCATGTAGAGATTGCGATCCTAATGTTTCTAAAACTACTAACACGGAGACATTATCACAAATCATCGACCTCCATGTGATTATGATCTAATCAGTGAGGATCTAGGAAAATATTGTGCATCCAGGTGTAATGTTTTATTGTGACTCTTAATTATGGGGTTATAGCCCTTTATTGAAAAATGCTTCCCGGACAACTCCTCCAAAACTACGGGGCCAATTTCAACGAAAGTTTTCAAATATGATAACTACTGTTCTATTTGCCAGCCCTTTTCATGTATTTATGGCCTTTAGTTGAAAAAACCTTATCCTGACAACTTCTCCTTAACTATTTGGTCGATTTCAACGAAAGTTTACAGATTTGGTAACTGCTCCTGACGTTGTGCATCAAAGTAGTATTTTTTTTTCAATTCAAGTAATTTTTAAAGGAGTAATGACCCTTTGTTGAAAATCCCTTTGTAAAGTACATAAAATGTCTTTCCCTCGCCACAGGACAGTTCCCGTGTTGTGTAAGGTATGTAACAATGTATTTTCCTCGTCACAAGACATTTCCCGTGTTGTGTAAGGTATGTAACAATGTCTTTTCCTCGTCACAGCACAGTTCCCGTTCTCGCCACAGGACAGTTTCCATGTTGTGTAAGGTATATAAACCCTGTCTTTCCCTCGTCACAGGACAGTTCCCGTGGTTGTGTAAGGTATATAAACAATGTCTTTCCCTCATCACAGGACAGTTCCCATGTTGTGTAAGGTATCTAAACCCTGTCTTTTTTCTCGTCACTGGACATTTACCATGTTGTGTAAGGTTTCTAAAACCTGTCTTTTCCTCGCCACAGGATAGTTCCCGTGATGTGTAAGGTATCTGATCCTTGTCTTTTCCTCGTCACAGCACAGTTCCCGTGTTGTGTAAGGTATCTAAACCCTGTCTTTCCCTCGTCACAGGACAGTCCTTGTGTTGTATAATGTATGTAACAATGCCTTTTCCTCGTCACAGGACAGTTCCCGTGTTGTGTAAGGTATCTAAACCCTGCCTTTGACTCGTCACAGGACAGTTCCCGTGTTGTGTAAGGTATATAAACAATGTCTTTCCCTCGTCACAGGACAGTTCCCATGTTGTGTAAGGTATCTAAACCCTGTCTTTCCCTCGTCACAGGACAGTCCCCGTGTTGTGTAAGGTATGTAGCAATGTCTTTCCCTTATCACAGGACAGTTCCCTTGTTGTGTAAGGTATGTAGCAATGTCTTTCCCTTGTCACCGGACAGTTTCCGTGTTATGTTCGTTATCTTAACCCTTCTTTCCCTCGCCCCAGGACAGTTTCCGTGTTTTGTAAGGTATGTAAGAATGTCTTTCCCTTGTCACCGGACAGTTTCCGTGTTATGTTAGTTATCTTAACCCTTCTTTCCCTCGCCCCAGGACAGTTTCCGTGTTGTGGAAGGTATGTAACAATGCCTTTTCCTCGTCCCAGGACAGTTCCCGTGGTTTGCAGGGCATGTAACAATGTCTTTCCTTGTCACCGGACAGTTTCCGTGTTGAGTAAGGCATGTAACAATGTCTTTCCTTGTCACCGGACAGTTTCCGTGTTGCGTAAGGGCTGTAACAATGTCTTTCCTTGTCACAGGACATTTCCCATGTTGTGTAAAGTATCTAAACCCTGTCTTTTTTCTCGTCACTGGACATTTACCATGTTGTGTAAGGTATCTAAGCCCTGTCTTTTCCTCGCCACAGGATAGTTTCCATGTTGTGTAAGGTTTCTAAAACCTGTCTTTTCCTCGCCACAGGATAGTTTCCATGTTGTGTAAGGTTTCTAAAACCTGTCTTTTCCTCGCCACAGGATAGTTCCCGTGTTGTGTAAGCCATTTAACAATGTCTTTCCTTGTCACCGGACAGTTTCCGTGTTATGTTAGTTATCTTAACCCTTCTTTCCCTCGCCCCAGGACAGTTTCCGTGGTGTGTAAGGTATGTAACTATGTCTTTTCCTCGTCATAGGACAGTTTCCGTGTTGTGGAAGGTATGTAACAATGTCTTTCCCTTGTCACGGGACATTTCCCGTGTTGTGTAAGGTATGTAACAATGTCTTTTCCTCGTCACAGGACAGTTCCCGTGTTGTGTAAGGTATGTAACAATGTATTTCCCTCGTCACAGGACAGTTCCCGTGTTGTGTAAGGTATGTAACAATGTCTTTCCCTCGTCACAGGACAGTTACCGTGCTTTGTGAGGTATTAAACAATGTCTTTCCCTCGTCACAGGGTAGTTCCCGAACATGGATCCAATAACGGAACAACCTGCGAACATTATAGTTACCAATCAACCAACGAAGTCCAATGAGTTGGTGGTCACGGGTCCCGTTGGACAAAGAGTATGGTCCTCGGGACTGTTTGAATGCTTTGATGACATCGTCCTGGGTAAGTTATCTCAGAAACATCTCGGTCTGTAAATAACCAGAATCATCTTTTGTTATGAGCAATCTGTTTTTTTATATACCTATTTAATAGAAACATTCATAGGTTATTCGAGTTTTAAAGGCACTGTGTTTCATTTTCGTTAAGACATAGAACATCACTCACGAGGAAATAACTAAAAAATGTGTGCATGTCGGATAAAAAAGAAGTGTCCAAGACTTTGTTACAGATTTTGGCAGTGGTGCGGAGATCCTCAACGGATCCCTATTTACAACGATATACACGTAGATGTACGGAGCAAGTGGAGACAATTTATAATAGTGAATACTCTATTCCATGTTAAAGTTACAAATAAAATAATAGTATCTTATATTAGAAAATATTATATAACTCGTTTCTTCTACCTCTGCAGCCGTCCTCACTTGCTTCTTCATGCCATGTATGGAGTGTTACGTGGCCAATCGGATGGGAGAGTGCTTCATCATGCCTTATTGTGTTTGTGGAGGAACCCTTGCCATGCGAACCAAGCTCAGAATCATGGGAGGCATACATGTACGTAGCAGGGATAAATATGCGAATGCTTCGCCCCCTTCGGGCGACACGTTCAAGTCTAAATCATTTCCCTCTTCTCTCTAAAAAGGAGTTACATATATTACAGCGAAAACGCCGAGCACCAAACTTAACGTGAACATGACGTCATTGAGAAACTAATGTAATGGCAATGAAGTGGCTTGACGCTGGTGTCGTATGTGTGTTACATAAATAGTCCAAATATTTGTAGCCAACCATCAGCAGTTGTCCGTCGTCCGTCCGTACTTTTTCTATTCTTGTTATCCTATTTCTCAAGAAGAACTGAATCGGATCCTGCTTGTGCGTGTTTCATTTTGAGACTGATGTGAAAAATGAGATTGCCGACAGACAGTATTTTGAGAGTTTTAGTTTGTTATCGCTATTTCTGAAGAAATACGTGACAGATTTTCCTCAAATTTCATGTAATCGTTCCCCTTGGTCATAGTTGTGGCGTATATCTTTTATTTTAATCCTTCAAAAATGTTCATAACTGTTGTCGCTCTTTCTCTTATTCCATATGCAGATTCCCGTTGGTCCCTAGTTATATAAATTATGTGTCATTTTGAAACTGATCCGAAAAACCAATATTGCTGCCAACCAGTCAGTTCAGAAATATCAATATTTCCCAAGAAGAACAAGCAAATTCGTGGATTTTATCTCCCTTGCTAGCAGGAAATATTGCAGGTTAACATCATTGAGGTTAGGTTTAAACATGTGAGTATCATGCTGTTGAGACATAATGTATAGCTTGAAACTCATAGAAGAAAAAAAACTTATGCATAAGTTAGACTTTTTATTGAACATGTAGACATTACGGTGTAAATTAATCGTTTAATCCATCAGAATTTACTAACCTCATTAATTATCCGTAAATATGCACAAATCACATCGGTTGGCAACTCAGCATGTGGATACGGAATTTGGTTGAAATATCTGCACAATATCTACAGCAGTTATCACACGAAAACCAAAGAGTGCCCAAGTTGGGTGGAAAGACAAAGGAACACAAACATTGTTATCAAGTTTGAAGGAATTTGGCTAATATTTGCTAGAGTTATTAAGCGGTTGTCAAACTTGGCTGAGCCCTTAATGCGTTGAACCCTGTTAACAAGTTTGAAGACAATCGGATAATATTTGCGAAAGTTAATGAACGGAAACGGCAGATAATGACGTTTTTCGTAATTCAAGGGGCCATAACTCCGCCAAATAAAGTCCGCTGAACGTGGTCATCGATCTTGGCCGAGCCCTTAAGGCATTTAACTCTTTTACAAAGTTTGTTGCAGTTATTCCTCCTCCTCACAGAGAAACCGTTGGTGTAATTATAACCGTCAGAGTTACCACAACCGTTGGTGTAATTATAACCGTCAGAGTTACCACAACCATTGGGGTAATTATAACCGTCAGAGTTAACACAACCGTTGATGTAATTTTAACCGTCAGAGTTACCACAACCATTGGTTTAATTATAACCGTCGGAGTTACCACAACCGTTGGTGTAATTAGAACCATCAGAGTTACCACAACCGTTGGAGTAATTATAACCGTCAGAGTTACCACAACCATTTGTTTAATTATAACCATCATAGTTACCACAACCGTTGGTATAATTATAACCGTCACAGTTACCGCAACCGTTGGTGTAATTATAACCATCAGATTTACCACAACCGTTGGTATAATTATAACCGTCACAGTTACCGCAACCGTTGGTGTAATTATAACCATCAGATTTACCACAACCGTTGGTATAATTATAACCGTCACAGTTACCGCAACCGTTGGTGTAATTATAACCATCAGATTTACCACAACCGTTGGTATAATTATAACCGTCACAGTTACCGCAACCGTTGGTGTAATTATAACCATCAGTTACCAAAACCGTTGATGTATTTATAACCGTCAGAGTTACCACAACCGGTGGTGTAATTATAACCATCAGAGTTACCCCAACCGTTGGTGTAATTATAACCGTCATCGTTACCACAACCATTGGTGTAATTATAACCATAAGAGTTACCACAACCATTGGTGTAATTATACCCATCAGAGTTACCACAACCGTTGGTATAATTATAACCGTCACAGTTACCGCAACCGTTGGTGTAATTATAACCATCAGTTACCAAAACCGTTGATGTATTTATAACCGTCAGAGTTACCACAACCGGTGGTGTAATTATAACCATCAGAGTTACCTCAACCATTGGTGTAATTATAACCATCAGAGTTGCCACAACCATTGGTGTAATTATAACCGTCAGTTACCACAACCATTCGTGTAATTATAACCATCAGAGTTACCACAACTATTGGTGTAATTATAACCGTCAGAGTTACCACAACCGTTGATGTAATTTTAACCGTCAGAGTTACCACAACCGTTGATGTAATTATAACCGTCAGTTACCACAACCGTTGATGTAATTATAACCGTCAGAGTTACCACAACCATTGGTGTAATTATAACCGTCAGAGTTACCACAACCATTGATGTAATTTTAACCGTTAACCAAATACAGTTGCAAGCGTTAAAAATCACAGTATGTCGCTGTCAATGATACAGCAAGTGATTCGTGTACGTTGTCTGACTCTTATACAATGTATGTGACTGTCCTGAAACTGATACATTGTATATCCCGGTTTACATTGTGTGTCTGTTTGTATAGAAACTGATACATTTTATATCTCGGTTTACATTGTGTTTATAACCGTCAGTTACCACAACCATTGGTGTAATTATAACCGTCAGAGTACCACAACCATTGGTGTAATTATAACCAGCAGAGTTACCACAACCATTGGTGTAATTTTAACCATCAGAGTTACCACAACCGTTGGTGTAATTATAACCATCAGTTACCACAACCGTTGATGTAAGTATAACCGTCAGAGTTACCACAACCGTTGGTGTATTTATAACCGTCAGAGTTACCACAACCATTGGTGTAATTATAACCGTCAGTTACCACAACCATTGGTGTAATTATAACCA